AGTATTTTTTTCATAAGTCACATCGCCGCTATTGCCTTATCTAATCATACGTTTTGCTTGGTTTGAAATAATACCAAGTCATCAGCAAACCATGGACTGAGGATTTAGGTCGTCTGACGGGTATCTATTATTTTCTGTCGGAAGACGGTCAAAATGGATGATTGATCAAAAGATTATTTGGAAGACTGTCAGAAAATAGCTCTGGATCCGCCACTGGCAAGTGCACGGGCGCGGCGAATAATGATTTGTGAGTAGAAGAAACTTTCCAGAGTAAAATTCAATTTGGTACATCCAAATCAGATCTAGTACATGTACCTATAAACGCCCCTTTACTTCGTTCCGTTCAGTTCAGCCATATTCATATTGTAAACTGCTATAGTTGTACCCGCCTATCAACATTTGTTTAGCTTATCAATATGTATGGTGAACTGTGGACCCCTACATTTAAGTTAAAGCGAGTAGAATGTTGTTGCTGAGTCTTTAAAATGTCTTGTTTCATGATGATCAAAAAGTTCAGGGTTTACCAGCCCAGGAGAAACCACCTACGAATAAGCCAATCAAGGCGGTGGATAACACAAGCTGTGCAACCAACCCAGAATTTAACCAAGGCCACCCAACACCAATTTGAGACTGGATCTTTGTCATGTGCGCAACCTGTGCGCTGGGTTACGAACAAATGTGTACCTTTGAAAAAAGTAAGTGGCGGTAAAAAAAAATAAAACTGATGCGGTCAACCGCATCGGGAATATTCTTCTCGAGATTGACAGTCAGTGGGTACTTTATGTTACACCATGCATCAACAAATAGGTGGATAGATAAATAATAAATGATAATATATTGATATAAAGAAATTCAAAGTTATGAGGTAGTTTCGCTAATGTGCATCCACTCATTCATGAATCGATCTATATAGCTGTTATCTATACCCGCGATAGATATACTTTATAAGAAATTATTATACCCGCTTTTTAATTCATATATATATATATATATATATATATATATATATATATATATATATATATATATATATATATA